AGAATTGCAGTCACTAGATGTGCAAAGCTGGTGGAGACATACCCTAAAAGACTTGCAGCTGTAATTGCAGCAAAAGGTGGCTCCACAAAGTATTGACTCAGGGGGGCTGAATAATTTTGCACATCGCACTTTTCAGTTTTTTATTTGTAAAAAATGTTTTGATTCATGTAAAATTTTGCTTCCACTTCACAATTKTATACCACTTTGTGTTGGTCTTTCACATTAAATTCCAGTGAAATATATTTATGTTTGTGGTTGTAATGTGACAAAATATGGAAAAGTTCAAGGGGTATGAATACTTTTGCAAACCACTGTATAGTTTTGGAGAATCATCATTACGTTTGACGGGGTGGGGGGGTACTAGTGGTATGACAAAATGGCTCAGGGGGTACACAAGTCTAAAAAGATTGGGAACCACTGCTCTAAGCATACAGTAATTGTGTAAAAACACAAAAGTTGTCGATTAAAGTGGATACATTTAATAGGTTTCTACGCTTTGGGTTATTGAGCAGCTGAAACTACAATCAGGAGTCACTTTTCTCCTCTGTGACAGTTCAGTTTGTTAAATATTAGGAAAAATGGCACACTCTGCTTCATCAAAGRAAAACATTTGTCAGCTGTGAAGCCACTCCACTTAAATTAGTCCATTTTTATGACATTTTGCACCAAAAACGTACTTCAAGTTCCTCACAAAATAATGTGAACAAAATGTTAGTTTGTTGGGAGCTGTACAAAAAATGTTCCTCGGCACTGAAATCAAAAAGAGGACAGCAGGTTTACCCGGATGTTTGAAACTTTTAGTTTGTTTTCTTTTACGCATTTGGCCCAAACCCTCATAAAGAAAAAAATTCAAAATCATTATTGCAGGCAAGGCACCATGAAGAAAATCTGTTGTTTTTTTAACAGCTGTGCGTACAAGAATACAAATATGGAGCTTTATAAGCTAGTGGGAAAAGCCTTGTAGTTTGCCACATCTTTAAAGGTTTTAACTTATCTTTATTTTTCCCCTTAACTTAAAAAAACATGTTCATTAAGCAAGAATGTTCTAAATAAGGTTAACATGTTTTCCTAAAACTATCAAGATGGCCGCTAATTTTTATCCGTTTCATAAATAGTTCCTTCAACTGTGTCCAAAACTCATATAAGATAAATTGTTTTGTTCCAACTTTTTATTTGACGTTGCTTCTTTTACAGTTACAGATTGCGTTGTTTGTAGACACTTAATATGATTTATTATTATTATTATTATTTATACCTGAAAACCAGGAGGTAGAATGTTTAGATTAGGCTGTTTTTGTTGTGTATTGAAAAATAAGTCCTTATATGTTCATTAATTTTTCCCCTCGAATCTGGAGTTACATTAGAGGAAGTAGTTCTTTGGTGCTGATGTAAATGTAATGTAATGCAATAATGGGCTTGTTAAATGGACCTTTGGGGATGGGGAATCTTTAACAAGAGAGCCAGAGCACGTCCTCCGGGTCAGGGTTATTTAAATTGTTAATAGCTGCTTAAACAGGCGAGGAATGTTTTATAACGAGCAACAAGTCAGGGACATTAACGGTAAAAGAGTTCTCCTTTTGGAAATTTTTTTGTTTGTTTTTGCGTCTAGGTTTCTGTTTTGAATCATATGTTTTAAATCCTGCAAATAAAATAATATTTTGCATGAAGCAGTAAAATACAGACATTGAAAAATACTAAAGTACCTGGAACTTCTTTATTTTTAAAACTTTAGAAACAATTTTTTTGTCTGTGGAAACCTTCCATTGTTTGAGTAAATGAACCTATTTGTTCATATTTTCTTTAGCGACTGCTGAAAATAACATCTCACACAAAGCATTGGTCAGCAGGACTTACAGAGCCACCTGCTCTAAAGACCATTCTGAGGATTCAAAAGATTTTTTGATCCCTATCACCATCCTTTGAAGTTTATAATTTCACTTTTGAGTATTAGTGAGAGTTTTATGCTACAGCATTGTGCAAAGATTGTGTCCAAATAATTCAATGCGACACAAAACAGTCTTTTGGGATCTTTTTATTTTTCCCATTTCAATTGTGTCCCTACAAAACGAAGCTACTTGCAAATTGTGTGTGACGATTGCTCAAGAATATCGTTGATCTTTTCACCCACTGCCTCATCCATCTTTTTCCTCACTGTAAACCCTTCCAATAACACACTTGCCGTAAAAAAAAGCTTGTCATGCTCATTTATTTWAAAAAAAAGAAGCTCCAGCACTGACAGAGATGGATAAATGTGGGTTTTTGTCCCTTTAACAGAAGATTTCCGCTTCAACTCCCTCCTGGTTGTTTCTTGTTCTTTGCCAGTCAGTGCAGGGGGAGGGCTTGTATTTTTATGGTTATTAATACCTGCACTCAGTCTTTTAAAATGCCCTATTTGTCACATGTGACTGTCTGACTGCACTGTTTAATCTGGGTATCCTTCAATCTGTCTCATTCCAGATTAGAAATTAATGAAGGCAGGAAGAGACACATTTGAGTCAGTTACAGTGTGGGGCTGTGTAAAGGACGGGATGAATGGGAGACGAATGTTGTTCATTTGACAGTGCTTTCTCCTTTTTTTTTCCTACTTCTGCCTGATCCCTTTTCTCCATGTCTCTTTCTCCATCATTTTTTTCTCTCTCTCTCTTCTCTTGTTTGGCTGCCAGATGTAGCCCATTTTTACCCCCACCCCCCACCCCAAACAAGCGCTCAGCACGTGGGCCCTTTGGTGTGCGGCACCTGTGTAGTGTAATACAGTCAGCAACTGTGTTGTTTATTCTGAATTTATTTGGTGCTTTTGAACRCCCATCTTTGATCCACGCAAAGAGTCTTCACTTTTTTAACCCCCCCCAGATTCATCGTCTACCTCCCTAATCTTTAACCACTAACGTCGGAACAGCGTTGTTATTTTTTTGGGTTAGTTGTGGAAAGGATAACTTATGTAGTTAATCCTTTTTATTTATATATTCGTTCAACTTTTCTTTTCACTACCAACCTAAGAGACTGAAAAATGATGAATACCTCTGGCATTTTTAGCACATGCCTTGGCAGAGATCTATTATGTGCACTGTGTATTTCAGGAAAATGTCAAACTTCTAAAGACCAAAAAGATCCTRCGTCCCATTTTAAGGACTGAACAAACTGACATATGCATTTGACACAACATCACAAGACTGTGTTCTATAATATGTACAAATCCTAGTTTTATGAGGGTTTATATTAGGGCTGCAGCTGATGATTATTTTAGTAATTATATCGATTAATCGGGTAATCGGACAAAACAATGGTCAGATTCAGCAGTAACTATTGAGCTTATTTTATGACTAATACAATTATTTAATATTGTGAAGGGTTAATTTACTCTTGCTTATGACCATGCTGCAATCAAAGTTAAATTGCTATACCAGTTGTATTTTACGTACGCCTTTAGGTTGCTTGTATTTATGTGTGTAAGGTTTGAGGTTGCTTTAATTACGACCGTTCTGTCATTGAATCATTTTTTAACCATCACAGGAAAAAAATTGCTGTAAATTCATTTTTATTGGAAAACTGAATGTGATCTTTACAAATAAAAGTAATATGAGTGATGTTAAAGTTTGAGGTTTATATATTGATTTTTATAGGGTTCACTTGTTATTTGTAACAGTAAAAGTTAATTGATTTTTTTATTAAGACTGTATCATTATTTTGGTGCAGTGTTCACATTTTACCCAATAAAAAATTTAGTTCTGACTGCTTAGATTTAAACAAATAGGACAGTAGTAATAAATGAAGGGTATTGACAGGCTTCAAAGTCATAAAAAGCATTAGCAGAATAGAAAGAAATCCTGCTCGCTACTATAAATCCTTTTAAATTTGAAATACTCACTTCAAGTATCTCATCTCACTCAGCTCATGCTATTAATCTGTTTCTTTGCTTTTATCTTTATTTGACACATTTATAGTAAGTGTTGTTTTTATCACACAACTTACACACTGTTTAATAATACTTTGCCAGTTAGCCACTATAGTTATTCAGTACATGTAATGTTAGCCAAAGTATATCTCCTTGCACATCTGTAACTTGGTAGATTAATCTTGACAGATCTAATTTCCCTCTGGGATCAGTAAAGTATTTTGGAATTGAATTGAATTGAATT